GCCGTCTGCCGAGATGTTAAACTCACCTACCCTCCACTAGAGAATTTGTCCAAGAAATACACCTGGAAGAACAATAATTGGATAACATGGTATTAGGTCTCATACTTTCCAGAAGGCAAAAATCCATATCCTCTGCTTCAGATTCATCTACCTCAGAGTTCCTTTCAAAGAATTTCACCACTTGTCTCGCGGTTGGCCTAGCTTTGGGGTCTTGCGTCGCGCATATCATGCCTAATTGCAATACCCCTAAGGCTTCCTCTTCATCAAATCCTTGATTACTCCTTAATTGATTATCAAAGGCATTACTCAATTCGCCCCATTTCATTAGTTCCCACAGCCAATCCACTAAAGGTGGCTTGCCTTCCTCTATTGGCCTCCTTCCACACATCACCTCCAATATTAGAACTCCATAACTGAACACATCAGTTTGCGTGGAGGCACGACCAGTCTTGACAAACTCTGGAGCCAGGTAACCCACTGTGCCTACAACTCGAGTCTCGTTAGCCACTTGACCATGATCATGCATTCTGGCTAGACCAAAATCACCAATTCTTGCATGCATTTCCTTGTCAAGTAGAACATTGCTAGCCTTAATGTCTCTATGCAACACTTTTGTCTCCCACTCTTCATGCATGTATAGAACCCCTGATGCCACATCTTTCAAAATCTTAATTCTATCTTCAAAACTCAACATGTTTCTCTCGTCACATTCGAACAACCTTTTATCCAAGCTCCATTTTCCATATAATCATAAACCAAAATCAGGCTGCCACTACCTTTCTTGCACCAGCCTCTTAATGCCACCAAATTTCTGTGCTTTAGCCTACCAAGACTTGAAATCTCAGCCAAGAATTGCCTTTCCCCTTCACTGTTTTCATGAGAAATGCGCTTTACTGCAACCTCTGAACCCCCAGCCAAAACCCCTTTATAAACCTTTCCATTACCTCCAATTCCTATCACATTTTCATCAGCAAAACCCTTTGTTGCAGCATCAATTTCTTGATAAGTAATCCTATGTGGCCAATACTCCAATTCCCAATCTTCTATACCCTCTTTTTTCCTTTTCATTCTCCTATTTCTCTTAATCAGAAACAATGAAGTGACTACAACAAGAAAGAAGAGTGACATTGTCATACCTGCAATAAATCCCTTCGATCGATAAACTGGATTAGAAAGCTCAAATGAAGGCAGTCCATGAGTGATCAAAGCATCACTTATCGAAAAATTCGATTTACTAAAACTCCAACCTAAGATCTTGTGACCTTGAGCTTGACCTCTAGTAGATGCTGCGAACCCCACATACATATCATCCCCAAAAACTTGAGAAAGATTCAGAGGGAAATCCAATAAAGGTTGCTTAGGCCTTTTCATACCAACTGGTGCCATAGTCACATTAATGTGGAAATCTGCATAGTCAATCCAAACTTGGTAGTTTTTTCCATTAGTCAACTTTAACGTCTCGAAAGACTTTTCATTTAGGCTACCATTATCATTATACTTAATGTACTTATCAGGCCAATAGCCTGCTTCATGAGCAAACACTGATTCAAAAGAATTGACATCAATTCCAACATGGTTATCATTTATGTCATTGAATTTTTTATCCTTGAAAACATCAAACTCAACCCAAAACACTTGGTTATTGGGAATATCTCCATTCACGAAACCTAAATTCGAATAAATAGCAGCATTAATACCTGTGTGTGGCATAAACAAGAAAACTATGCCACCGCCAAGTGTATTTGGTAGCCTGTCCCTGTAAGGTGCCATTGAAAAAATGAAAGATGTTGAAAAGGGAAGAACAAAAGATGAATTTGGGTTTTTTGTGACAATCTTTGAAGGGTATAGAGCACTACCATCTGAATAGAAAGGTGTGTCAATGGAAAGACTAAGTATTCCAGATTCAAATGTAGCATCCCCATACCTTGACATATCTGATGATATAAAGCCATTGAAGACAAAATCAATTGCTGAAGCTGATTGAATACTAGAAAGTATGGTTATTAGCAGGTAGAGAAGAAGAGTTTTTAGGTGTTGCTTCATTCTGAGAAAGAAATACATGTAACTCTCATGCAAGAAAAACTTATGAGAAGCAACTGCTTACATAGGAAAAGGGGAATATTAAAAGAATACATGGTCAAAGATTTGACAAAAAATTCAAAGAATAAAAGTAGCCCACCAAACCGTTTAAACTAAAAAATAAACAACAAATCTGACCGGCATTTATGTAAAATTCCAAGATTTTTCAGGACATTATAAATATCACAGGAAGAATAATCAACTCTTAGTGATTGTTTCAACTAAAAGGAAAAAAGGATAATGATCTGTATCGAAAGTCAAGGAACTAAGAAAATGACAACAAAGAAAGGCTGCGACACGCAACTGTGAAGATAAAGTTACTTAACTAATTAGTGAGAAGGTGGAGAAAGTAAAATGGCGGCTGCCAGCTTGAAGAAAAGAAAAGTCCACACAGAAAGTTTGACTCCTTTGGGGTGAAAAAGTAAAGCTTTGTATTTTCCTTTTTTTTTTTGGTCATGTAGATTTCATTGAAATAAACAAAAAGCAAAACAATTGGATACAAGGAAAAAACAAATTGAATAGGACAATATTCCACCATAAGCTGCAAAATGCAGAAGCTTTGTTCTAAAAACACAGTGGAAAACTGGAGATAATGTAAAAAAATAGGACAGCTAGAGAAATGGAATTAAAGCAATAAAGAACCCAAATAATTGCGAAACAACATCCCTACTGCAACTAAGTGCATACAAAAGCTTCATGTTCAAAGCTCAGATCTTAAGGTTTGCGCAACGCAATGTATTACCACTAAAATTTAACAAATTGTGCAGAAAATTGGAGATTCTTACACAGCATTCTGATACAGACACCAAAATAACACAAAAGCGCAAAATAAGTAAGTAGATGCACAATAAAATTTAAAGACCTAACTTCAATATATGAGTCTTCACAGTAAAATTCTCCAAAAACACCTAAATATCAAATCAAGCACCGTAAAAAATGTTTTCCTAGTGCTTTGATGGAGCAAAGCTAGAGCATTGAAGAACCTAAGTCGAAATCCTATTTTCTCTTCTCAAAAAGTTATCAGAGCTTTCACAAACTTGAATTTAAGTGTAGAAGACAAAATTAGTGCAAAATCAGAAAGGAATGACGGGTTGCATCACAGAAAGGAGGAGTTAAGATTTAAGAAAGCTCAAGAGAGGGAGAGAGAAGCACATTAATGAGAAAACAGTGCTTTACAAATCCCGAAGGGGAGAACAAAGATGAACAGTGGAGGAAAAGAATACGATTCAATGTAAAATGCAACTTTTTTATGTCACGCGATCAGATCCAATAAAATTGGGGTCCACAAATTTATAAAACAAAAAGAAGCTTCATGCAATTAGTATAAGTTGAATGAGACACAAAATAAAATTTCTCTAATTCAATAAACACCGCGGCCAAGTAAGCTTGTATTTTCCAGAGGAAAAAAAGTTCCTTTTTTCGGTACGATATTATTATGCACTAATACTATAAAAATATTTATATAATTATTGTAAAATACTTGTAACATAATTATAAATATTATGCACTAATAATACAAAAATATTTATAGAATTATTGTAGAATGTAGAATACTTGTACGATTTCAATAGTTTTATTTAACAAATATGGATAGATTAAAATAAAAAGAACATAAAGTGGCAGATCAAGTTTACATTTATGGTAGAACTTTTACACTATTAACTATATAGCTTGTATCCTTGAGCATGGAAGAATTAGATTTATGTTTAATTTGGTGTAATTACTAGTTGGCAATATTTGTTTGATACGATATTTACTTGGTTAGCATGGAACTGAATATAATTGAAGGAGTGTAGTAACACTTTTTAATTCTCAAAAGGAAATAAAAATTAGTAATAATTACACTTGTGTAATTATAAGTTAATTGAACTTCTTTTTTTCAAATATATTATTAGTACTATCCCTTTTATTTTTTAAAATTTTTTTTATGGGAAAGATAATGATTTCATTAAACCAAAACGTTAGGCATTACAGTAGTAGATATGATCCTGCATTACAGTAGTAGATATGATCCTGTGGATCATTGATAGATCGTAATCCATGCATGGCATGATGATTACCTAGAGTAGCAAGGTTTCTACAACAGTTAAAAGAAATTGTTTTAACAACACCCTCACCACCCCCTGTCTGCCAGCATCCTAGCCAGAACAAAAGGTAGGGAAAGAACTAAAATTCTACTTTATTTAATACTGGGATGGTTGTCGCATGCTTTGCTAGGGTATGTGCTACTTCATTCCCTTGCCTGAAGATGTGATGCATTTCCACCATGTCCATTTGTGCCAAAAGCAACCTGCATGAATTAATAATAGATTCGTAAGCTTTGCAACCTTCGTTAATGAAAGAGATTACCTGTGTAGCATCAGTCTCAATCTCCAATGGAAATAGCTTCTTGTTGTTTGTTATACAAAGCCCTTGGTAGAGTAACATTAACTCTGCGTATATTGGATTCTTTGTGATAATTTTGGAAGCGAACCCTATTAACCAGTCACCGTGTTGATTCCTTATTACCCCTCTTATGCCTCCAATAGTAGTTGCTTTGTTAAAAGCACCATCTATATTTAGCTTATACCAATCAGTTTGAGGTTTAATCTAACTGATTGTTAGGTTAATTTTTCTATCCCAATTGGATTCTCGATCCGTTAGTAAAATATATTTGATAGATTGGGTAATGATCTTATTAACGGATAATGGAATGGTAATATTGTTTATATTGTTATTGTTCCTTGTAAGCCAGATGTTCCATATTATGAAAGGGAATAAAGTATTCCAAGTCAGATTTTGGCGGAATGGCCTAAATGGCATCTATACTTGTGCCATTTTGTCATGTCGGTCCCCAAACTTAACAATTTTCCAATTGAACACTTAAACTCATTCAAACCATGTATAATAAACACTTATGATAGGAGGCTGTCAGTGCGTGTAATACAATCTCCTACACGTAGGACGCCACGTCAAGAAAATTAAACTACTTAGGCTCCAGGTCATTTATTATGGACACATAGCAAAATAAAATGGGAAATAATTATTAACCTCCCCCCAAAACCAATTCTTCATCTGTTTTTCATCTTTCAAGCTTAACCCAGCACCTTTCATGACTTCTCCCACGATGAGCAATCATACTCTCTTTTTTTCTTCCTACAAATCCTATAAAACCCATTACAAATTGCACAAAATGAGATCATAATTTTTCCCAAGCATAAAACTCTTCTTGGGAGCTCGAACGCAGATAAACTTACCCCTACCTTAGAATTTGGTGACTGTTGTTTTACTCCCTATCTCTGTCGTTTCTCTTCTTCATCTTCCCTTCCCCCCTGTTTTATTTTCTCTAACTCTTTGTTAGTTTTTTACAGGTCTGGACCCAACCGAATAAATTAGATATGGCCGGAAATATAACTTTTCCGGGACCTTTGTTCTACCACAGTACTGGCCGGCGACTTTCGCTCTTTCTTTTATGTTATTAGACCCCAAATAAACTTAGGCAAACTACCAGATCTTGGCAAAAAATTTGGCCGAAATTTGATTTCGCTTGAATACTTGCTCTTCCTTCTAATTATGATGTTTCTGTATTACTTTGACAATAGTTCACATATTTGTTCTTTGTGCAGATCTGGGGAATGAGAAAAATTTCACTTTGGTTTGTATGGAGATAATTATTGTTTCTTTTGATTTTAGTATTTGTTTTAATCAAACCAGTGTATTCACCCATTTTTAAAAAGCGTGTGACCATTCACTTCATCTGACATAGCAAAATAAATGCCACATACGCTTGGTTAACAGTCAGACTGGTTTAAAATATAAGTTTTAATCAAGTAGAAATGTCTGGATGAAAACAAATGATGTAGAGAGACCGGCATGACAAAGTGGCACAAGTATAGGTGTCATTTAGGCCATTCTGCCTAGTTTTTGCTTGGAAATTGAGGATTTTCCAATGTAAGAGACAGGAGCCAATTTTGGCATTTTAGTTGGAATTTACTAGTATTAATGCCTAGCTTTTGCCATAGAGTATGGACTTGAGGGTAAGTGAGGAAGATGTGCATAAATGATTCTGGTTCCTTACGACAAATTATGCACTGCTCATCTATGTTCAATCCTATTTGTGATAGATAGTTTCTGCATGGAAGTCTATTGAGGTTACAAAACCATAAAAAAATATTTAATTTTATTAGGGCAATGCAAGTTCCATACCCAGTTTGAGTTTATTTGAGGAGGATTTTTACCTTCAACTAGTTCATAGCAAGAATAAGTCGAGAAGATCTCATTCGCATTGCTATCCCAGGATATGAAATCCTTATTGTTATCACTAGGGATGAAGGTTGAGAGAATTTTGCTAGTTATCTCATCCGGGATAGCAAAGGTAATTTTTTTCAAGTTCCACCTATTTTTGGATCTAACATCACATATCCTGAGAGAGTCTTCCTCTTTGGTTAGGGGACCAATGACATAGCTTCTTAGGATGTTTGAGTTGGGGATCTATCTATTTTACCACAAATTAAGAGATGAGGAGTTGTGGATGGTCCATGTCATATTTTTTGGCATATTTTTTATCCCTGAATGATATTTTTCCAAATGAACGAGCTCTTTTCACTTGGCTTATGAGAGTATTTTTGTAGGAGGGTAATTGCCCATAAATTAGTAGGGTTATTAGCTAATCTCCAGGCTAGACTGGCTAATAAGGTTAGGTTCTTAGATCGAGCTTTTCTTAATCCTAATCCTCCTTCACCTTTGTTTCTAGTAACCAAATTCCAATTGACAAGGTGAATCTTCCTTTTTTGACCAGTTGTACCCCAAAGCAAATTTCTTTTAATTTGGTCAATTCTCTTAAGAGTTTTAGGGGGAAGCATTGTGTATTGCATGTAATATGCTGGAAGGCTGGAAAGAGTTGATGTTATTAAAGTACTTCTATCAGCCAAGTTTAGTTTATCACATTTCCACCCGGAAAGGTTACTTCTCATAGTGTCGATGATGAATTGGTAATTATGATTGGGTTTATTATTTATAATAGGAAAACCCAAGTATTTACCAAAAGAATTGTAGACTTTTATCCCAAGGGAATGAGAAATGTTTGTGCTAGTTATTTTACTATAATTTTTTGAGAAAATTATTTTGGATTTAGCATAGTTTATAGTCTGCCTGGATAGGTCGCAGAAATGCTTAAGGGCTGACTGAATGGATGATGTGATTTTATTGTTGGCTTTTCCAATTAAAACCAAGTCATCTGCGAAGAAAAGATGAGATAGAGGAGGGCTATATTTGCCCATCATAATAGGATCCCATGTCCTAATGTCCACTAGATGGTTTACGTAATTTGATAACATTTTCATGCATAGTATAAATATATAGGGAGACATTGGGTCACCCTACTTGATTCCCCTACATGGGTGGAAAAATTTGGTTTTTGTTCCATTGACTAGAACAGATGTGGATGTTGTAGTTATACAAGACATAATTAGTTTGGACATTTTTGGGGAGATTTTGAAGTATAAAAGGGTCATGTATATGAAGGACCATTCTAACTTATCGAATGCTTTCTAGGTCAATTTTGACCAGCATTTTGCCAGCATTTCCTTTTATTTTTTTGAATTGATGAATAAGTTCTTGGATAATAATGGCATTGTCATTGGCCCTTCTATTTTTTATGAAGCTAGATTGAGTAGGGCTTATAAGTGTAGCAAGAATTGGCTTTAGCCTATTTGCAATAATTTTTTTGATAATCTTGTAAATAGTATTGCAGAGACTAATTGGGCGAAAATTATTGAGGTTGTTTGCATTTGAGAATTTTGGAATTAGGTAGAGATAGGTAGTATTTATCTCTGGAGGGATGGTATATTCACTAAAAAATTTATGACAGAAAGCCCTGACAGAGTTTCCTATAATTTTTCAGTATTTTTGATAAAAAAAAAGGGGTATAACCCATCAAGCCCCGAAGATTTAAAAGGCTTGAAGGAAAAAATAGTTGTATTAATTTCACAATCAAGTAAGGGATTATCTAATGCGGTAAGATCAACATTATGGAAACTAGTTGAGTTATGTAATATGTGGGTCCAATTTATATATGTATGGCTAGTAGTAAATAGAGAGGTAAACTGTTCAAGGGTATGATTAAGGATATCTTGGTGATTATCTAGCCATGCACCTTCACTGTTCCTAAAGAAGCTAATGTGGTTTTGTTTCTTCCTGTTAGAGGCACTAATTTGGAAACACCTAGTATTAGCATCTCCCCCATTTAGCCAATTAAATCGGGACCTTAATTTCCAATAGTCTTCTTCGAGTTTAAGTATGTTATTGTAGTCCCTGATGAGGTTCTCTTCTAACTCTTGAAGAAAGGAACTATGGTTATAATGAGGTCATTTTTGGATACCGTTTAATCTGGCTAGGAGAATTTTTTATCCCTAATTATGTTGCCAAAGTATTCTTTACCCCAAATTTTAATATAGTCAGTAAAGGTTTTGGTTGCCTCCATTAAGTCTTTATTCCTCCATTGATTCGCAACAATGATACCAAAACCTGGATGAGTGCACCAAATATTCTCGAGACGAAAAAAAATTTCACAGTGGTGATTGAGATTATTATATTTTACTAGAATTGGTTTATGGTCCGAGTGGGTTTTTGGAAGGTGAGTGATAGTAACATTTGAAAATAATTTTAACCAATCGTTGTTTGCTAAAACACGATCTAATCTTTCCATAATTAACCGTTTCTTTTTCCAATAGGTTGACTACGTGAATTTGCTACCCTTGAGACCAAGGTCTATTAAATTACAATAGTCCATATTTTCCCACAGTTTTTAAGCTCTAAATATTTTCAAGGGCCTTCCACCTATTGTTTCATTATTACTAATAATGTCATTTAAATCTCCCCTCTAACATCCAAGGTCCCTTATAATTATTTGAAAGAGTTTTAAGATTGTCCCATATAATGTCTCGATAATTGACTCTTGTACTAGCATATATTGCTGAAAAAGTCATTTAAAATTAAAAAGGCATACCTCTAAATGAGTATGGATTTCCTGACCTTTTTTTGTGAAGTGTTCCACTGTCACCACATTGTGATTATAGAGAATGGTCATGCCTCCTGATTGGCCATCCGCAGGAACCTCTATGAGCTCAGAGAAGTTAAAATCATTTAGAAGGAAGGCATGCAACAACATCCTAGTCTCAAGAAGGGCCACTATGCTAGGTTTATGAGTTTCAATTAATTCCCTAAAATTATGATGGAAGTCATCATTATTGGCACATCTAACATTCCAAAAGATTATGATAGTGGCTCTATTCATTTGTGATACTTGTTGTTGGTTGGCAATGGACTCCCTCTCTACTGAGTTGTGGCTCCTCCTTCTTGGTGGGACTAGGATTATTGCCTGCTTTCTTACTGTGGGATCTTGTGGTGGTCAAACATGCATTGAGCACTTGTACATGGTGTTGGGGCAGCTGAATATGTATTTCTTGCTCCATAATTCTGGGAAGAGTAGTATTTTTACCTCGTTTAGACTTGAAAATTCCACACTCGGTGGAGTACCTTGTGGAAGGGGTTCTTCTTCTTCCTCTACTGGATGGTGTGGTGGATTTTGTCCTGGCACATTGACTTGGATGTTGGGTTCCAGATTTACTGGGGCCATGTTTGGTAGATTGCTCGGTTCCTGGATTGCATGGTGACTCTAAGGCATAAAGATAGGGCTGATTGCCATGCTTTCCTCCGTGGGAAGAATGGTAGATTCATTGGGAGATTAATGAACTGGTTGGGGTTTATGGTAGATTCCACTATTCCTTCATGGCCTAGATTAATGTATAGTTCATGTGCTGAGCTAGAGGGTACAGGATATTGTTGATCCATGTTTGATTGGTGTAGTTGTTCATTGCTATATGCATTTCTTCCGATATTAGTTGGGCTAGGTAGCGAGTATTTTGGATTATGATTACCATCTCTTGCCCATTGATTTGGATGTTGAAGGTTATTGCATGACCTAGAATGCCTGCTTCAAGCCAAGAGGTCGGTTGGTAATTTTGTGGCTGAGGGGGAATATGAAGAATAGTGGCTGATTTGGTAAGTGTGGTGGCATGGAAGGTTGTCCATCGGGGGGATTTTGTGTTGGTTTGGGATGTGGACTAGCCGAACCTTCTCCTGGTTGTGAGTGGAAGTCTTGGCATCCTCTTCTTGTGGGTTATTTATTTGGTTAGTGTTGGTAATAAGATTAGTAGCTTTCCTAGGGTTCTTGATATCTATGGATTTCACTGTCTGCATGGGGCATAATTGACTTGGCGTGTGGGAATATATAAAAATTTTGGTGGATTTTGTTGCAGCCAGGTGCTCTTAATAGTTCGCCATTTGGCTATCCTCCTTTGCATGCATGTCCATGTGTAATATCGACGAGGTAGGGTTAATGGCTTGGGTAGTGGTAATATCCATTTTAGGATTAGTTATTTCCTTTAATTTAGGGGTAGCCAAGTAATTGCCTATTTTGTTTTTAGTGGAAGATTCATCCAGTGATTGGGGTGTTGGTTCCAAGATATCATTTGCTTTGGACACATATAAGAGTTTATCTTTTCTGCTTTGCATGCATTGGGTGTTAGGGATTATGGCAAGATTTTTTGATAAACCCATCTTTTAAAATCATGGGCTTTTCATCCTTACTTTGTAGTACCTC